TTCTCAGATAAAGGAATAACAACAAAGATGGGAAAGGGCTGCTCAAACTTTGCGAAGTAAAAGCTAATTATAAATCAAGACAACACATAAAAAATAAACCCATGAGCTTCTTTCTGATCTTAAATTGCTGTAACTGAGATCAGTGGCCTGCTTTATAGAAGCAAACTTAAATATTTGTTTGTTTATCCAGCCCACAAACTCAAATACAATGTTCTGCTTCAGTGCTGACTTGAAGCCAACCCTAAAGCTGCTTGATAAAGCTTAACAGTAATACCCAGTCAAATATTATTGTGCTGCTGAAATAGAATCTTTGGTTCTTGGGTTAACTTTTAATGTTAAATACTCTTACCAAAATTACTGGTCCAAAAATATTAGGAGAAACTGACCTCCAATCCATAACCTGCTAGGACTATACCCTTGTTATGGCAATAGTGAAAGTGCAGTCTGTTTTTTTTTCTTGCTTTCAGCTTAAATCTAATATATTTTAAAAGTATATATATAAAAGGAAATAGATGTAGCTTTTACATATGGGTTTGGATAAAAAGAGTTGCAGCTGCAACAAAAGGCATGTGATAATGTCAAAGTGTATATTGCTGGAAAGCCACAGATCTGTGGGAAAGCATGACACTTAACATGTAATATTTCCACTTTCCCAACGTCCGCCCATTACAAGTGGCCTGAGCACTGTATGCAGTTAGATACACTTACTGTAGTCACTTTTAAGCAGAGAAGAATCTATACGTAAACAACCTCACTAAATTATTTTACTGAAGAGAGTTTCCTATTCCTCAAATATGTTTTGCTCACTCTACCTTATTTCACAAAGGCCAAAATTCATTCTGAAAGCACATCTTCGAAATGTTAGTGCTCTCAAGAACTGTCTTTAATATTCTGCTGCTGGAAAATCTAGGTTTCCAGTTAGTGGCCCCAGCAGAAGTGCATCCAAAGTTTGCACTGTGCAATCCAGGAGGACACTCTGAAGGTAATAAACTTAGTCCTTCTTCTGTAGCTTACCATTTCCTAGTGCTGCCAGTGCTAGCCTAGTCCTCACAAGCAATGTTGTGACTTACAAGCTTAGAGTTAGCTACTCAGCATTACACCAATAGCCCCTGACTAACGAGATCTTTTCGCAACAAAGACATCATTTCATGGAATGAAAAACTGGCAAAAGTTTCTACTGTCAGCCTAAGGATATCCTTTTGCAAGGAAGAATCCCATGTGAGTCTTTAAGATGAATTAGGTTAAGTTTTCCATTACTGCAACAGCTACAGATGTACTAAGTATATAGCTGTAATTTTGCTTTATGTACAATGATGTCTAAGGTTACTTGTTTGCTGTTTCTGGGCCAGGACACTCGATGGAATATCATGTAAGTCATCATAAATCTTCGCAGTTCACCTGAAATTAACTTGTTTTAGGTATGTCACTATTTATATAACACCTAACATGAGAGTGATGTCTCAGAATCTTCCCTTCAATGTAAATATTTTGGCACATTGCTTAATGCATTTAGTTTTTACTCATGTCATACATATAGTTGTATTTAAATCTGTACAAAATGTTTATTGTAAAATTGTTATGCTAACTGTGTATATTCTGTACAAGCGTTATGAAAATTAACATGTTCATTTTCTGAATTGTGTTAGTTTATGATAGTGTATGAAATTATTGAATGTTTTCAACACAACTGTATGGTACTTGGCTGGGAGACTGAGACTAGAAATAAAGTAATAAAGTTTCTAGTCCTATATGCAAACTCCTAATCAGTCAAGCTGCAAAATAACACGGTCTGGATTCACAACCTACGACTTAAAAAGTTTATTGAAAAAGGTTTATTGAATCACATGGGCATTTCATTTCTTCTGACCTAAATAGCTGCAGGTCATAGCAACACAAGATTTCTTACATCTTCATCGGTATTTGTCAAAAAAACTAAAACACTGGATGAGTCTAAGTTGCCAATAGCCCCATTTCTCCTCTTGCACTTCCAGTTCCTGATGCGGCAACTTTACAACTATCACCTTTCACTGGGAATCCAACCGATCTCATATAAAGATATGTGATAGCTTGTTTTCCTTCAGCATACTTCTTGTTTGCTTTGACAAAGCTGCGAATGCACATGTATTTAAAATACAACAATCCCAAATCAGTGGTGCCCAGCCTATGTTCTTCAGACTAACTTGGTCTACCAGAATAATTTGTGGTTATTGCTTGCTTTTTGCTATCTTCCTATATCTTTGCTATTTAGTATCTTCCCCCAAATCCTTGCAACTCATCCTGTGTTAAACAGCAGAAGAGCACGAGCAAAGCATGAGCAAAGTGCATGCATCTTCCTTCATGTGGGTGTAAAGGAGTGTATGACAAGGAAGACTGGACAAGATGGAGGCACTTCTGGTGACCACCTGCTGTTGCCAAAGAATGGTTACTCCAACGTTGGAGTTCCCACCAAATGACCCTCACATTAAGCTGACGGAATTAAGCGGCACAGGCATTTATTAGTTAAGTTATGGTCCTTAATATCATCTCAAAAAAAGTCCTGCTTCTCCCTCCCAAAGAGAAACTCAGAAATAACTATAGCAAATTTTCAGGAGCTCACAACACAGAATTATTTTGTTTTCTGTCTATTTGATGGCTTAACTTATCCTACTCTCCAGCTTCAGGACCTCTACTCAGTGCTGACCAGATGTATGGGCCTAAATGAGTCATGTCTTTCACTTCAATTGAAGACTACTCACATGCTTAAGCTGGATGTGTTTGTAAGCTAAAACTCCTTGAAATGAAAAATGGGACAGGAGGAGGAAATCTGCAAAACACAATATAGAATTTCTCAGTTGCTCATGCCAGATTGAGGAAATACCTCTGGACCTACACTCAGACCTGGAAAAATGCAAACATGGCAAAAATTCTTCAAAATCCAGTATAATCAACACCAACAGAAGAGCATTTTTCTACAGAAGCACCTTTTCTTGAAGCAGAACAGTCCTCTAGCTATTACCATTCACCTCTTAGATTTAAATTGATTCACTGACAAATACCAAAACAAAATAAAAAGGTAAGGAATCAGCTCAAATGACAGCTGATTTCAATGAGAATCTAAGTAACTCAGCCTGAGGAGTGTAGGAGCAGTTTTAGTTGATGTAATAATTTAAACCTGTATGTACTAAACTTGTGTTTTTTATTTCTATTACTTCAAATAATTTCTGAAGCTAACCAGACCAGCAGTGTTTTTTGAAAGAACAGGTTAGACGACATTTGTTGGAAATTATTCACTAAATCAACTAACTTTCTTGAGGGGAAAAAAAAAAACAAACAAACAAACAAAAAAACCCCCCACTATCTTTTGGAGCACAAAGTGTTTGCCCATGAGCTGTGTGCCCAACAGCTTGCTTGTTTTTCTAAGTGTAGTGATTAGTCTATTAAAATATAACTGCTTTTCCTTACAGATCTTGCCTTGCTTATAACATCAGACCATTGCAACTGTGTAATTCACAGTATGGGGGGTATCTTATGATTCACTGACTAGTAAGTCTCAAAGGCAGACCATTTCATCCAGCAGCTGGCGAATTTTCAAGGGTGTATGAGGTGTTTTTTTTCCCCTTGAGACCGATAAAAGCACGCCGGGAACACCCACAGGAGCCAGCTGACACTGCCTCTCAGCTCTGTAGCCCTATCTGCTCCGGGTGTGGGAGAGGCTCCCAGCTCTGCTGGAGTCCTGTGGAATTCCTGTGGCCTTGCTTGGATGTTTATCCAAAGATGCTTCAGCTGCTGCTCCATGACCATGTGACCATCACTCAAAATGTGACTGCATGTTGTCTTTCCTTCCTGAGCTTTTGCTCCGAGGATCTCTACAATGCTGGGATTAGCTATTTTAGGGGCTCAGCCAGTGGAGGAGGTCAAGGAGTTTTAGCCTTATATACTCCTATCAACTTGAGAAGCATCTCCACTAACTAGCTAAATATTTTTATAGGCTGGAGTCTAATGTCAGAACAGCCACTTAGACAGACCATTATATTCCTCGTGCCCTTTCACAGTCTTCAAATATGCTTTCTGTGATTATAAATACAGAACCCTCTAGTTTTTAGGAGCAGCAGTAGAAAATTCTTTCCAGCTCACAGCACAAGGTTATGCACTTTAAGTACAGAAATGTAGGGGCAGCATAAAGCATGGAACTCTGACAGACATTTCCACTCAGGCTTTTTTATATTCTACAAAAGCCACTCTACTGAACAAAAACACACACACAAGCTGAATCCACATCCACATACATACTCTTAGTATAAAATCAGAAAGTAATATTGTCTCCTTGTTTTTTCTATTGAACTTCCAGCCCTTCCCAGTTTGCTGAAATGCCTTACTGAACGTACAACCAGGGCCATCATCCTTCAGAAGCAGTAATGCAGGGCTTTCTTGCCATTATTATTATGGGTGTATGCCTTGCCTGTGTTTGTATCTTAAGTAAAGAGCACACACAAAATTAAATGCTCACATTCAGATACAGGTGACAGCGGGAAAGCAGATTATACTGAAAATATTTACCTGTAACTTCCCTGCTGTAGTCTCCCCAGGATTGTTTTATTCTGTTGTGATGCTCAAAGACATCTTTCCCATGATTTGTTGTATTGCCCAGGTTATATAATTCCTAACAACGTATTCTGCAAGTGAACATATTTGTGGCACATTTTTATTGATACGTTCTTAATGTTGAGACTGGGGGGTGGGTTCTAATCACCCTTTAGCTGCTACAACTCCCACACACATTCTCGTTTTATATATGCTTGCAAATTTCCCGGCAGAGGAATGTGACTCCACTGGAGCATGCTGTAGGTATAAGCACTGTAAAGAGAACAAAGCCCTTTCCGCACTGCCCACGGCTCCTGTCACCAGTAACACCCGAGCAACAGCGACCTGCGAAGCTGTGCAGCCTCAGCGAGGCTCCTGAGGAAACACCCCTCCAAATCGAGCCCTCGCTCTGAATCCAGGCTGTTTCTTTCTTTCTAGCAATGGCGCAAAATTCTATCTCAACCCATCCTAAAGTGCGTCTGAGCCTCCGGACATGTGAGCCGGGCGAGACGGCCCGTCCCGCCGCGGGAGAGGCCGCCAGCACCGCGCAGCAGCCCCCGAGGCCGGGGAGTGCCCCCCCGCCGGCGCG